CAGCTTTCAGGATGGATTTTCCTAAGCAGCTCCCGCAGCTCTGCTCTGTGAAAGCTGGTAGTCCTGGGCGATGACTTCTCAGTGGGACAGCAGGTTGGGGCTGGGACATTCCCTGGGACCATGGTGGCGTGTCACCCAGTGCCGCAGGAGCGTGCGACTGGGAGGATCAGCCGGACAGTACACGTTGCTGGATTCCTGCCCGACAGCAAAGGGCTTGGTCCTGTAGCGACTCCTGCAACTGTCCTCTGAGCTAAGACCTTCTCTTTTGGGCTCCCTGCCGCCCTTGGCAGTGAAGATGAAGGTCTGGTTGCTGGGCTCTGAACAGTTGTTATTTTGAGGGAGTTTGGGTGAATAATGCTGTAGGACTTGGAGTTGAGGCAGAATCTGGGGAGACCAGCTGAAAGAGGATGCTGACAGATTGGAAACACAGATGAGACGGGATTGCTTTGTCATATGTGAGTCGTGTCAAGTTGCAAGCAGGTCACGATCCTGGGCCGAGGGGAAAGGTAGGTGACGAATGTGTTGGGCTAGCAGGGCTTCCTCCTGCCGATAATACCTCTGCGCAGACGTGGCCAGTGGTCTGTCAAAGGGAGAAGAAGCTATTAGCAGCGGCAGATCTGATTTCAGTGTGATGTTGGCCTCCCATCTTCTGCTTGACAGCGTTAGCAAGTCATGGTCTGAACCGCGTGGGGACCAGGAGGAGGTTTTGGGGTGATCGAGGTGGGGATGCTGAGCGAGTCTGCAAGCTTTTGTGGATCCAGGGAGAAGGAGTTTCTGGGGAGGGTTTGCAGGGGTTAGCGTGTTGCGCTCTGTGGGTGCAAATTGTGCCTTGGGCGTCTGCGCGATGCTGTGAGCTTAAAGGAAATCTTGCCTGTGGATTTGGGTGGTGGGGAGTAGCTGATTCTCTCCTGGGGTGTTGGCGTGGTGTGGGTGGTCTCCTGCAGTGCAAGATCTACTCACAGCCTTCTTCCTTCAGCTCTGGCTGCGTTCAGCTTGTATTTACTTGTGTGCCTTCTTCCAAGGCTAATGTCAGATGTGATGGGATGTTGGATTAGACTAAATCTCCTAGGTTTAGCTGGAATGTTGTCTCGCTGTAGCATTCTTCTCCCTTGCTCTTTTCTCTAAGCCTTCCCCTACAGACAGCTAATTCTCCCCTTCCCCCACATCATGTCGTACCCCCCAGCATGTCACAAGGAATTAACGGGCTCAAAAGGCCCGGGAGAGGCTGCTCCTCTGGAACAGTCTCTCCTTTCTGTGACCGGGGTGGTCCCCCCTGCGTGCCCCTTTTGTGTCCCGTCCAACTCCCCTCCCCCTGACCATTCAGTACATGCCAGAGGAGAGACCGGCGGTCCTGAGCCTTTCCCAGCCCTCCTCCAGCAGCGTTGCCCGATGCCATCCGTTACAGCCGAGGGGCTTCCCGTGCCCAACCGGAGGCTCTGGGACAGCCCCGAACCCCTACCAGGCGTTCCCGGTCCTGCCGGCATCTCGGCGGCAAGAGGCAGGAGGTTTGTGCCGCCGCGCTTGCTGCCGGAGGGCTTTCCTTCTCTCCCATCTCTGTGCATCTCCGACAGCATCGCCTGCTCGCGCTCCCGGTCCTCCATCCCACAATTCACAGACGATCTCCTCAGAATAGGGATGATGTCACTTCCTTCCAGAGGGTGCTGGGGGGGGGTGTGTGTGTGTGGAAGGGGGGAGTCACGACCCCAGCCTGGGTGGCTTTCGGCAGCCCTGATGGATAAATGAGGTTGCTGTCTTGGAGGGAGGGCGTTGCTCTGAAGATGATGCCCGGCTCTGTCGGCAGGCAGTCACCACGCCGTCCTTCCCTTTGCCGAGTGGGATTTTCAATGGCTGCAAGAAGAGTTTGCTGTTCCCTCCTTCGCTGGTGATGTCTGTCTCCATGGACGTGCGCTTTTCCTGAAATACCCTTACGGGAGAGAAGAATGTGCAGCAGCTGGACCACATGCTGTGTAAGATTTCTGCTTTCGTAGATCTTTCTCTGATCTGAGGGTCAAGGGCTCTGGACTCCTTGCACACAAAGCTTCTGTGCCCACGTGTGCTTCCCCTCCCGAATTTCGGTGTTGGGAACTTGGGGCTTCTGGTATTGGGGTTCAGGTTTCGGGGTCCTGGGAACTTTTCGCTCTTTGCTGCAATTTTATGGGTAGTGAAAGGGGTTCTTGCTGTTGGAAAACTAGGGTCGGTGGTCTCAGGGCTGTTGGCACTCTGACCTTCCGCTTTCCTCCCAATTCCCCTGCTAGATGGTATCTTCATCACCTTAAAATGTAACTCCTGGGATCTGCTCCCCTGGGGTGAAGCCAAAGAGTCCTTGTACTGAGAGCTTTACTTTTTTTTTGTGGGCTTTAAAGTCTCAGGCCTTCTATCATCTCCCTTCTCAAACTAGGGGCAAAGCCCCAGACCTCATGGTTTAGATTTTCAATAGACAATCTTTGAAAATTAATTGGGACTCTTTCTGCAGCGCACCGGGAGCCTGGTAAGCATACAGCTAGGAGTGACAGTCCCACAGTGAGTATTGCCACGTGTGACAGTGAGTGACGGGCTGCTCTGCTCCGTCCCCATCTGTTGCTGTGGATAAGGAATTCACATTAGACGTCTGCTGCTCTTACCGATACCCCGCCTCTTAAACTGGCGAAGGGTGGTGAAAGCCAGCAGAGCACAACTGCTTGCATCTGAGGAGGTGGAAGAGTTGTGGAAAGTGCGTTGGTGGGATGCGGCCGTAAGTCGAGGGATGATGGAAACTGGGCTGGGAGATGCTGTGGTGGCCAGAGGCAGAGTGAATGAGAATGCCGGAAAGCGTATCCATGTGTACTGAGCAGGGTCAGCGATATTCAAGATGTATTCAAGGGGTGGTGCGTGACAGGCAAGTGGGTTATTCACGGCAAGGCTAGAAGAAGTTGCCAGATGGCCAGAGGAGTGAGCAGTTTGAAGGTAGTGCTGCAATGTACTGAGTGCTCTGATTATTATGTGCTAAGGAAGTGTGAATCCAAATGGTGTTGTAATTTCACATTTGCTTTGCTTGTGGAATAGAGTGTTTCCTTCGCCCAAGTGAGTAAGGTGCTGGAAGTGTGTCAGCCTGTTAACTATGGAATCTGGCAGAAAATGTGAAAGATTTGTGTAAGTTTTCAATACTCGGTGACTGAAATGGATAGGAAGGTCTAGTCCGCTGGCCGTGGGTGTCGGTACGGGAGGAGACACCTCTCTGTTTTGAGACGTTTTGCACAGTCGGTAAGTGGTGGGGTAACCACTCCTGACTGGTGAATCCTTTCTAGTAGGACAAGGCAGCTCCTGCTACTGCGGCAGTTGGTGCTGTGGTACAGTCTGTGGTCTGTCACAAAACCACCCCTTGTGTTACTTTGAAGGTTCAAATTAGTTTAAATGTGATCATGTCACTCTTCCTCCCCTCTTTTTTTTTTTTTTGACCTAGAGTGCTAAATTAGAGCCATCATATACAAGTTTGAATTTTTTTTTTTGCCTGGTGCATGAGGTATGGCAGATGATATTCCCTCTGAAAAGCTGTTGGAAATCCTGATTATATTGTAAGTAGCAAATGTGGACACTTTGGTTTTTGCCTCTGTGAGCCTAAGAGCAAATTGCCAGATGAGTACAAAGAGCAGTTATTACTTTGGCGATGCTGCTTTGGGGTGGCGTGGTCGCTGCAGGTCCTGGATGGAGCGCTCCGGTGGCAGTGCATGAACGTGAAAATTGGGAGGTTAGCGGGGCTAGAGTAGGAGAAGTGCTCCAAAGTGATTTGGAATTGAGATGCATCAGTTGGGAGAACTTGGCACTCTTGAGGTGGTGGCTTGGAGCGGAGAGGCACAGACCAACGTGTGGTGTCCCCCGGTCTGTGGTAGCGCAGGAGGGTACAGGTGAGAAGCGCGAGGGGGTTTAGGGCATGGAAGAGGGGGACAGGAATGACCACTGCGGTCAGGAGATCACTGCTGGCTGTGGGTAGACCCTGTAGACAAGATCTCGGAAACCAAAGGTTGCCAGAACCAACCCGAAGTCGTGGTTGTGGGTCGTGGTTGAAGCGTGTTGTACAAGAAGTGTGGAAGGGAGATGGGGAGTGCTGCGGGAAGGGACTGAGCCGCTCCGATGCGGTGGACTTGTACCGGAGCAGGCTGGAGTATGTACAGCAGAACTGAAACGGTGTGGGAGAGCTGTGTTGGGAGGAGGTGTCTGGATAGCCCTGTGCGGTCTCGTGACTTACACCACTGCTGTTTCTTTTTTTAAAGGGTTTGTGAAGCTTTAAAAATAGAAGTACAAACAAAATGTGGGGAGGAACAGCCAGCTCCTCAATCTTCGACTTTTTAATTGTTAGTGCCTGTCAGGGCCAGCGTGAACACAGAGGAGATGTGGAGCTGGCAGGGCGCTTCTGTGCTGCTGATGGTGGAGTGAGAGATCTCCTAGGAGCTTGCTCCCTCAGCTGTAAGTGCTTGCTGTTGGGAGCCGGTCAATGGCTTCCCCAGATGCTGCCACTGACTGCTAATGGGTGTGTTGGCTTGAAACCGAGGGAGGGAGGGAACTGTTGGACAAGGAGAGAAGAGGCTGGCAGCAGGTGTGCCTGTGGAAGAACATGGCAATAGGACCTTCTTTAGAGCTGAGGCCAGTATAACCTGTCCAAAACATCCCAGGGTGACTGCTTGCCAACCTGCAGCCCTAACAGGATTCCAAGTAATCTTGTGAAGTGGAGCTGGGTGAGCGGTGATTATGTTCAGTGAGTTCCGCACTGGTTTCACCTAATACTTCCCACTCTTTAAAACTGTACCTTCCTCTCCTGTACTCTCCTTCCTGAGCATGCCGTGCCCTCTGGTGCTGGAAGGAAGAAGCTCTGCCATCTTTGATGTGAAATAGGACAGCTCTCAGGTGCCGTGTGGGGTCGTGGGGCTCTCCCGGGGGGAGTTGAAGAGGGTCAGCAGCATCTTTGATTCTCTTTTTTTCCAGGAGGTGAGTGTCGAAAAAACTGAACTTCCTCAGACCCGCTAGCCATGCCAGGGATTGTCGTGTTCCGCCGTCGCTGGTCTGTAGGCAGCGATGACCTGGTTTTGCCAGCCGTCTTCCTCTTCCTCCTGCATACCACCTGGTAAGTGAGAAAGGCAGGATGATGGTTTGAATTCTCCCATGAATTCTTTTTGCTATTCCTGTTTCTTGCAGCTGTAATTCTTCCTACGCTTATACATGCAGCTGGAAGGCTTGTTTGGGGCATTTCTGACAGACACCAACATATTTCCAGCTCCTGGTTCTTTGGATAAGTTCTATTCTGAGTTCCAGTTCCAAAGAGGGAAGCCTGACCAGAGCTCCCTGCGTCCTCCTGTGCTACCCAAGGTTGTCCACTGGAGTTTGGGGCTGTGTTTCTGTACAGGGGCTCAGGAAAAACAATTGGAGTGGCAGATCCCATGGGATAATGTGATTTGACACTGATCACCAAATTGTTCTGACCGGGGTAGCAGGGCCTCTGGATGGCTTGTGGGGAGGAGATTTCTGGACCAAATTAATATTAATTTGTAAGTAGCTGTGGGAACGCTGAGGATCCTCAGTAGCTCAGTGAGGAGAGCAGGTGTGGGGTATTACGTGCAGCTTTCTTTGGCTTACTGCTGGTAACAAGCTGGTTTGTGACTGGCAGGTTTGTGATCCTCTCTGTGGTGCTCTTTGGGCTGGTGTACAACCCCAACGAGACCTGCTCGCTTAACCTGGTGGACCACGGCAGAGGCTACCTGGGCATCCTGCTCAGTTGTATGATCGCAGAGGTGGCAATCATCTGGCTCAGCATGCGAGGCAGTATCCTGTACACAGAGCCCCGGGACTCGATGCAGTATGTGCTCTATGTCAGACTGGGTAAGAGGCAGCGGCCTGAGGCCTCCTAATGACTCAGCCTCCACACTGCCATCTGCTATTGCAGAAGACTTCTCTCCCCACACCCTGACAAACACACAGCTTCTGAAAGACATCCAGATGGCCACTTGTATGTGATATGCATCTGAATACATCACATAGACTGCACCCTGTCATTGCTGTAAGACTCTCATGCAATGCCCCAAATATCTTTCTAGCAAACCTTTAACTTGTCATCCTCATTGCCATGCAGGTACATCCTTTTCCTCTAACAAAATATGCTCCCCTTCTGTCTCGCAACACAGATCTGCCACAGCGAGATGCATCTACACCTCTCCCCCACCTTTTTTCCACACATTTTCCTATGACAGGCATATGTCTGTGTAAATCATGGTGGTTCTGACCCCGAGGCATGTGCATGTCCTTGCCTGTCACAGACACGTCTACGCCCACCTACCTTGAGACGTGTACTTGACCTCCTGACTCACATGTGATGCATCTCTCCATCCAGCAACCTGCACTTTGATCCTCCACCTCCAGGCACTGTGAGATCAATAGGTTTACCACCTGCTCACCGGTTGCCTCCTCTCTCTCAGAGGGCATATTTGTCTTCCCCAAAAAAACGTTTCCTGTCTCACCCACCAAGAACTAGATCAGAAAAGAGATTGTTCCTTCATCTCTCATTCGGGGCTTCCCTTTTAGCTTATCTTCCCTCCTCTGTTCCATTGTCTTCCAGGTACAGAAACTTGATCAGATTTTTCTGTGCTGAGTGAAGATTTTGCGAGCAAAAGTTTTTGTAGATGCAGAGTCAAGCCCATTCCAAACAAAGCATCTCATGTTTTTGCATCTCTTTTTGCTGGGTTGTTTTCCTGCAGAATTCGCTAAAATACGGGTAACCTTGCTTGAAAGCTCTGTCTGGGAGACATTTCTGCCTTTGAGTGCTAAGTGCAAATCATTAACATGAATAGCAAACAAATCTTTCTCTCCAGTTTCCCAGACACGCTGCAGTCTCCCTAGGGAAGCATGTAGAGCCTGACAGTTTGAGTAACACTGTGTTAAAACCAGACTAAATGGGGCAAGGGAGGTAGAGAGAATCCAAAGAGCCATTTTCCTGCCCAAGAAACACCCACTTTTCTTCCTTGTCTACCTGAAACTAAATGTGTGTTCAGGATCTGTATTTACGCTGTATCTTGGGTCTTGTAGATGCTTGTTTCCTGGGGCTTTTTACTCGGAAGGGCTTCATGAGTTCTGATGATAGAAATAGGAGTGTGGCCGTTGTGTGGGCAAGGTCCAAGTGACTCGGTCCCGTTTTAAGCATGTGTCGTTTAGTGCATA